AAGTTTTATATATGATCATTGTGAATTTTCTTTTTTTTTTCATTGTCATCAAATAAGACGTCATCTTCTCCTTGTTAACTATTATAATGGTGTAAGAACATGCAAAGGTTTCATTTTTTTCTCCCTAATTGCCAGAGTCCCATCAGTAGGTTTATTAACCAGATACCACCTCACCCAGTGTTGTATGTGCAACCTGTAAATTTGTGCCCTTGTACCACCGAGTGCAAAGATATAGTGAGTCAGAATCTCTGAATTGCATGAGAGAGAGAGGGAGAATTTATCTCCTGTGTTGGGAAAAAAGAGGCATAAAAGCATCCATCTGCATGTTTATTCCCAATTTATTAAACCATGATATATTTTAAGCATTTAGGGTCCATCTTCATTACTCACTTGCATGACTAGCTCATCACAGCCCAGGATATTCGATTATAAAAATGTGTAAATCTCTAGATAATTTGCAAGCGAGAAGTACATCCTCACTTGCAAGCCTTTTATGTGTGCAGTTGAATTTTGTTAAATGGGTCATAGACACCTACATCTTCAGACTTTTGTGAACCATCCCTGAACTAATGCTTAGAACACCATATCAGCTCAAGTGGGTTGACAACATAGTTTACTCAAGAAAGAAAATTCTTATGCACATACATACAGATATATATACATATATACACACCCAAGTACATACATGTATATATGTATGTATGTGTATGTATATATATACAGACAAGTAAACAGAAATGTTAGAATTGGAATACACTGCTAATTGGAAAAGCATATGAGCATAACAACATTTGTGTGTAATAGCAGTCAGTATGTTTCATATTGTAAGGGCTGCTGATTAAAAGAGATGAATTTAATGGTAAGAATTTTTCTTTACTTCACTATATATTTTCAGGTTCATTTTAACATCATCGTTGTGGCCAATCTGTTTGAGCTTTGTCTGGAATATATTTATGTACATGTACGGTATATGCATATGTTTATTTTGTATATGTATATATACGCATAAGTTGTGTGTGTTATATAGTGTATGTAAATGCTTTTGTATGCATATATGTATATGTATATGTATATATGTGTGTGCATATATATCTTTTTATTTATTAAACGGTAATGTTTGTGTGTATGAATTAGTTGGTCACAACTTGCATTTGAAAGCTATATTAAATGTGTGTACTATGAAGCAAAGGTTGATTGTCTTCATTCCAAGGTAAATTACACTGTGCTTGAGTGTTTGAAGTTTAACTGATGCAGGTAGTATCAGAAAGTAGAAATATTGTGGTAGACGGAGAAAACAGAAGTGCCTCCACATTTCTTTTTTGTTGCTCATAAAGCAATGTTTTTCTTAAATTACAAAGGACAGTCATACTTTTGGCTATCATGAGATTGTTGTGAGAGCTCGCTTATTTTCTGCATTTGCAAAGAACTGAATTAACATACTGTAAACATACAGCAGTACACAGTACCATATAATGTAATGTAAAATATTACAGAACACTGTCCTTAAAAAAAAATACAAAAAAAAAAACAAGAAACTAAAAAAACTTTTATGCTTTTATGTGTACTTGGATGAAAGTTTGAAATATTGAAATTATTTATTAGGAGGAAAATAAATTCTTATTAATTAAATCCTAAAATGCAAACTCTTTAGCATAGGAATTATTACTGTATTTTGAACATTCTATACATAATGTCCAGATTTTTAAAACCTTGTTTTTTCTTTTCTTTTATTGTACAGATAGTATGATTCATAAAGTATACTATTCTTTAACACCATTGGAGTTTGATATTAAAAACCATTTACTTTTAATAGTTCACAGGACCCATCAATAAGGTAAAACAAGGTGCTATTAATAGGTATGTCAATACAGTAATAAAATGTTGCCCCTAATACTTTCCAAAGTAATATAGTTGAAAAGTCCCAGTTATCAACATTCAGCTGTACTACCAATGTAAGCCTTGGATGATTTCAAGTCCTCAGAATGGTTATGTGTTTAAATTATAAAAAATAAATAAATAAATAAAAAATAAGATGAAAATTACGTAGATGAAAATTAGGCATTTTGGTTTGTTTTTAAGTCTTTAACCCTTTTCCCCATGCAACTTGTAGAGGGCTGCAACACTAGTTAAGCAGCAGATTTACTTCGTTTTATGATAAAGGAATGGAAGATGATCAAAGATGTTTGTTTACTGAGTGTTATGTATGGGGGGGAAAAATATGTTTGGATAAATGTGGGAATGAAATAAAGTCAAGTTGACTGTTTAAGTCATATGAATATAGAGAATAAAAAATTGTTTTATGATGTCTCAACTTTTTCAAACAGCTATACCCATCTATGGCAAAATTTTAAATATGATGCATGAATAAGTGCAGATTTTCTATTTTTTCCCAAGACCCTGTGTGATTAGTAATACTTATTTGAAAATTACCACATATTTTACCAGAAACCTACTTTTGTGAACATAAAATGTCACTCAAAATCAGAAGGGAGAAAAAAAAAAAAAAAAAAAAAAAGCTTGTTCAAATTGTTAGAACACTACAGGCTTGAATGCAGCTGGAGTCATTGCATCAATGGCTTTTCTTTTATCTTAATTTTCATATCATAATGAAAACTGTACTTAAGAGCTGCTAAAACTAAAAGGATGTAAGCAAGTTTAAGTGACACCATACTTTAGGAAGGACTTGTAGAGAAAGGCATCTTTTCTTGACACTAGTTAACAAACTAAGATGCTTAGGGATATAGGATACACAAATGATTGAACAACCGATTTTGTTATTGTGCATCATCCATAATTATCCTTGCTTTAGTGAGACATTTTTAGGCCTAGCACTCACTACACCGACGTGTGTCCAGTTTGAAGTTAAGCTGCAAGCTCATATGCTACACAAAGATCAACTACTTTTATACTGTATGCTGGAGAAGAGAGATTATTAATCTGATGAACAAAGAGAGAATACTGGTGGCAGTTAAGATGATGCTTACCAATGTCCGACATGTCACACAATTGCCTTTTATTGTGAATGAGCTGAACTTGCAGAAACTTTTCTAGTTGAACACTTTTTCTTTTAACTTCGTAGCTGAAGTTCAGCAAAAAGCAGAAGTGATTTTTTATTTCATTTGTCTTGTTACACGTGAGGCAATTCTGAATGTAGAAGTGTATTTCTCTGGTAATTTGATGGTTAATAGATAATCACCTTGTGAATGGATGTCTCCCTTTGTTAAAACAAATAAATAAAAAGCCCTCACTAAAATACTAGTAATATTGCCTTTTTCCTGCTTATGGTATTTAATAGAAAAAAAGCTAAGGTGTCAGTTAATAGAATATTATCATTTTAAAATACGGATGCTGACAATACTATGTTACGGAGTGCTCAACACCTTTTTATTTTATTTTATATCAATCTTACGCTTTTTGTGCTTGTTATCAAAGACAGGAAAGATTGTAGCTGTAAATAGATATATGTGGATTTTTTTGAGTTCAAATCATTGTGAAGAGCTTTGCATATTTCTGTTTCCAAGTTCCAAAAGTGAATTTCTAGTTGCTAAGCTCTTTTGTCATACAAGAAGATAACTATTGTAAAGCTACTTTAATGTTTTCTTAGAACAAAGTAAATTTTAAAAATCTTTAAAAATTTTATTGACCTGTACCTTAATTTCTTCATAATATTTTCATCAACAAGGAAAATATTTATTTAAAATGATTAAATCTAATGGAATAAAATTTCCCAGACCCAATTTTACTGTTAAATAGATCTTGCGGCAAAATACCATAGGCTAAGTTCAAAGTACAGGGCCTAATATTATATTCTATAAGAAGAGTCTTTTCCCTTTTCACTATTACATTATCCTATAACGTTCTCAAATCTTTGATATCTAACACATTTTATCATAGTCCTTAACTTTTCTTTGCCCTTTCCAACACAATACTTTACCATAGTGCTATATGGCCTTTGATGTCTAGAACATTTATTTGTTTCAAACATTAAAAATTATAAGGAGAGTGCAGTGTCTGAAAAAGAAAAAAAGAAAAAAAAGAAAGAAAAAAAATATATATATATTGTTTACGTCATGGATTACAGAATTGATGATTCATGTTTATCCCTATACTGTGTGTGTGTGGCACTCATTCCGGTGACTACGGCAATAGTCTAGCTTTTCCAGCTTGGCATTTGTGTACAGCCAGCCATTCCTGCTCACTAGCTCGAGCGAGTCATGATGCATATACACTTGCCCGTCATGAAGGATAGGCTTTCCATGACAGTTGTATGCCATGCCTGTCAGTAGGGGTGTTAAAATATAACCTCTGTAGCACTGAAAAACAAAATTTCATGCCGTGACTAATCAAAGAAAAAGGCAAGGCAGTGAACATATCAATCAAAATCATGAAATGTATTGAGACAAAGGGAAGAAAGTACCAATACTGACAACAATACGTACATCACACACACGGTCAAAAGATAGGAGAAAATAATATTACCTTCACATTAAAAAAAAAAAACTCATTACATTGAAGTTACATACCTTAGTAATGACACTCAATGCACTTGTATATATCTTCAGAAGTTATTTGCTAGAGAAATGTAAGCAACAAATATTAATAATAATGAACTGTAATTAGTACATATGATAGTATAAATATGTAAGATAGCAAATAAAAAAAATGTTATTCATGCACCTGGAAAGAAATTCTAAGGAAAAGGAAATATTTCATTGGACATAAATATTTTATTCTGAATTTTGCTGAATATACTAACCTGAGCATGCACGCACGCGCGCACACACACACACACACACACACACAACACACACACACACACACACACACACACACACACACACACACACACACACACACACACACACACACACACACACATACACACACACACATACACACACACACACACAACAACACACACACACACACACATACACACACACATACACACACACACAACACACACACAACCACACACACAACCACACACACAACCACACTCTCTCTCACACACTCACACACTCTCACACTCACTCACTCACTCACTATTTCTCTTCAGTGTTTACAATATTTCTTCTCTAAGTTATAGGATTTACATATCTCATATTTTGCCTTCTTTCGATAGGACACTTTCTCTGATGCAGAACCAGCTGACGTTTCTGCGGATAGCCCGACTCACACCACTTGCACTGATAGGGTCTTTCTCCTGTGTGAATTCTTTCATGGACTTGCAAGTGATCTCTTCTTCTAAATGATTTGTCACAAAATCGGCACGTGTGTTCTCGCAAAGGCTGGTGAATTAGCAAATGGGCCTTCAAATTCCGTTTTGCATTGAACTTTTGTCCGCAAATGTGGCAGACGTGACCTGGATCTCTATGCCCTGCCATGTGAGCCAGCAACTCCCTGTCTCCCCAAAACCCTTTAGAACAAATATCACATTTGTAAAGCATCTCATGCGTATGTTCTTTGTTTCTATGATAATAAAATTGATATGCTCTTTCTTTTCCTGTGAACACTTTGCCACAGAACTCACACGTAAATGTATCTGGATATTTTGCGTGTTTTGAAGATCTGCTGACCTTGCTAGTTTGTTCAATAGTATCATTCTGAACTAAGGTATCCTGTTGGCTTAGGATACCAAGTAAATTCTTTCTTAATTCCTTATTACTTAAATTCTGCGATGACTCTCCCTGGCTTTTGAAACTATCTTTGGTGTAGATTATGTTTTCTGAATTGTTTGCAGGTAAATCATGTGCTTCACCCAAAGAAAGAGGATCTTCTTCAGCCAAAACCTTGATCCCATTTGCTTCATCACTATCAACATCTGCTCTACATGTGTCATCCTCACACTTTACAATAATGTCTTCAAACTGATCCAGCTCCACTTCCTCTCCATTTGCTAACTTAAATTCTGCCCGATTTTCAATATCACTACCACAAGTAATAGCATCAGGTGTAATCTCATCAGAATGCCAGAAAATAGCACCTTCAGTTTTTACAATTACTCCACAACACATGAAGGTGAAAGGCCGAACTACATCATTTCTTAATTTTTTTGATAGTGTCTCCTCAATGGTCACTTGAGGTGGCTTACCTGTAAATTCAAAAATGGAAAGACATGGTATAATCTCCATATACATGTATATATACACACAACAATAAATATGCCTGTGTATATATAAGAAGAATATGTGTCAGTGTGTTTGAAGACAAGCATCTAAAGGAGTTCTCAGACCAATTGCCCAAAAATGTTAATAATTTTGTTAATTCAGACATTCAGGTCTATCATAAGCACGCACTCTATTTCATGATTGCCATACATTAATGTGACCATATTGATGCTCATGTTAAAGATGAAAGTTTAAACTAACAAAACATTTAATAAACACATTTTTAGGCAATTTGTCTGAGAACACTTTAGGTATGCATCTCCTCAAATATAAACAT